TACTGTGATCCATTGTGACATATTTGATATGCCAAACACAGTAACAACAAGTCTCACAATGGGGACGTTACTGGGCCTGCTCAAGCAAATCAATGAACAATGGGAGGATAGTGCTACAGTGCTACTGTGATCCATATAAAACATTTATTCTGAATACTGCTGGTTAAACATTCCCATTGTCTCTTAATTACACATTGAAATTTTGACTCTGGAATTACACTGAAATAACAACACACTCAGAAAGTGAGTCAGTTGTGCATAGGAGAAAGTATTACCTTCCTGACAGCCATCACAATAAAACTAACTAGAAGGTGCTTAAAAGACAACTGGGATTTGAGCCTGGAGCATTTTCTCTTCAACAATACAAGTGGAATTGTGTCCAAGATGCTTTAAACAGAAGCATCTCTTTCCCCCCATTTTTTATGGATCCTGATTGTATTTCTTTTTTAAATCAAATGTTTCTCAAAGCTCACTAAAACAATTTGTTCTGGCAAAAACTGTCTCCTTATTCAATAATAAAAGCCAACATTTTTATAGACTTCCATTGATACTGCACTCAAAATGTCTTCATAAAAGTGCTGTTATGAAAGTATATATAATACACAAGGGTAAGAACCTTTTGACAACAGCGAAAGACTCGAGAGGAAAAGAAAGTCGAGGCCTCTTTTTCTCTGTTCTCTGTATAAGGTACTTCTGCTTCCATACAAATGTCTCACTAATAAATTCTTCCTTTTTTATTGACATTATTTGTTCGCAGGTACTTAGAAAATAAAGACTACAAGTAACTATTACACTATATTACTCAGAGACTATAAAAAACCAGCTCCCGGAATTTGCGGCCACGCGACATCCTATTATGACATCTTATTATCTCATTCCTACTTTGGACAAACTGGCAGGCTACCGAATGTAGCCTGCCCACACGGCAGAATCTGGCAAACTCCCCGTGGCGTACCCAATATGCCAAATACCAATACCAGTGATGGGTCTCATTCTCCTAAAGAGCCTTGAATATAATCTCAGGGCTAGGATGAAGGAGACGTTACTGGGGCCTGCTCGAGGCAATTGACGATTAACAGGATGATTTGTGATTGTGATTTGTGATTACTCAGGTAACACTAGCATAATCTTTGTGTGTGCAGAGTAAGCATATTAATTTTTCTACTCTGATACTATGGCTACGTGTAATATTGGGTTATGGTCACACCATAAAAGATAAGTTAGAAACACATGAGTTATTGTTCTCTCTACATACCTTAGCCATTACAATAGACATATTTATTGAACATTTATCTGTCAGGTAGCATGCTAAGTGTTGGTGATTACACTACTGAGCAGACAAAATTAGACTTGCAGTCCAGATAGCTTATACACAATTATAATATCTTATTTTAAACAATTATAACCCTATTAACATTCTAACAGGCCAAAAAAAGATGAATATTTATTATTTCAATATGTACTCACAGAGGTAGAAAAATAATTTGTATGGCTTTTTTTCTCATTAGTAGCTGAGCCTAACTGTTATAAAAGACAGATTAACAAGAGAAAAAATATACTTTTATTAGCATGTGTGTCTGAGATATACATGGAATCTGTTCAGGAGAAAATGAATACATTTCCTGAGATGACCAAGTTATCTTGTTAGATAACCACATTCATCTAAAAACTAAAGGAAGAGACTGTGTAGGGAGTAGGGCAATTTGGGAAGGTTTTGAGAACAAGAAAGCACAATCAAAATCAAATTTTGGTCAATAATGAGCTGCATATATGTTGGTGGTCTTCATACACTATGTCATAGCATCTTTATGTAGTAGCTTATACCATTGAAATTTTTCAAAACTTTTATTTTTACAAAGTTGTTCCCAATAGTTTATTACCTTCCTTATTCCAAAACCAATCCCACCACCTTTGCACCTTCCCACCACAATTATTTAGAATTTTCCAAACCACCACCCAAGCTGCCCCAATAGCAGGCCCTAAATATTTTTTTTTTGTATTGCTTGGGCTGGAGCGATAGCACAGCGGTAGGGCGTTTACCTTACAAGCGGCCAACATGGCCGACCTGAGTTCGATTCCTCCGCCCATCTCAGAGAGCCCGGCAAGCTACCGAGAGTATCTCGCCCGCACGGCAGAGCCTGGCAAGCTCCCCGTGACGTATTCGATATGCCAAACACAGTAACAACAAGTCTCATGACGAAGACGTTACTGGGCCCGCTCGAGCATATCAATGAACAACGGGAGGACGGTGATCCGTGATCCGTATTGCTTGTTATAAATAATTCACTAAAAATGATCAAAAACAAGTTTCCTTAGAAGAAAGTGTGTGGAGATTATTGTATCTCACGGAAACTTTCAGCTCTTGTATAAAATATTACTAACATGTTGTTACAGGTTGAGCTTTTTGTGCTATTTTTTTTAATTGAGTTATGTTGCCTTCTACTTCACACCCCATAGGGTGTGGAATACTAGTCCTGATACATCAGTTTGGTAGAGTATGAAATATTGTGTGGCTGCAAATGACACCAATTACTGCAGGAATTCTACAATTTTTAATAGAAAGGTACAGCTGGACTTAAATTTTTAACTAGATCATGACTTTGGGGTCCAGAGACATCTCTACAACTTCTTGATCTCTACCAAGATTTATTTGTAAGTCTCTGGATTATGGCCATTAATGAGCTTATATGGCACCAGAGGCAGTGTGTGGGTACAGCTGCCAGGCTCCCAGAATAACAGGTGATATGGGAAGTCTATCCTGTGAGAAACTGGAGATTTTGGTTACAAAACTTGCATACCTGAATTTTTCAATAGATTCACTCATGGATGAGATTCATCCTAAGCCTGTTAAGATTGGCCATGAGCATGGCAGACTGGTTTCTGGAGGACCATGGAAATCTTTAAAATTATATCTGATGTTCATACAACTCTGACATTCTTTGCAATGCATTTGTATCTTAAATAATTAGTGTAATTAGGCTAAATAAGGTTTGTGATGCAGATTTAAGTCCTTTTGGTGCCTTCTTCATCCATAAATTTCTTTAGAACTAGAGTTATACTCCTTAGGGAACTGTAAAGGAAACAGTCCTCAGTAATGGAGATTTTTATTCATTATTCTACTATTGGGCATTTGGGTTACGTCTATATCTTAATTATTGTACTAAGACCTGCAATGTACATATGTGGACATATATCATTTTGAAATAATAGTTTTGTGCTCTGGTGTAGATATCTAGAATTGGGAAGGCTGGGTCAAATATGAAATCCAATATTATTTTCTTGAGAAGTCACCATATTGTTTTCCATAGCCACTGGACCAGGTGACATTCCCATCAACAGTGAATGAGGGTTCCTATTTCTTCATACCCCCTGCAACACTCATTTTCAGTTTTTTTAATATATTTTTCTATACACATTCTTACTGGTGTGAGGTGATACCTCATTGTCATTTGATTTGTGTTTCCCTAAATGAAAATGAGAAAATCGTTATATGATTTCTGGTCATTCATATGTCTTCTCTTTGGAATTTCTATTTCTCTTATCTCATTCTTTGGTGGGGTTATTGTTTTGTTGTTGTTTCTGAGCTTTGTAAGTACTTTATAAAGATCTTGGATGTCAATCGTTTAGATAAATAATGTGCAAATATCTTACCCCTCAATTGAATAAAGAAGTTGTGGTATATGTACATAGTAGAATACTATTCTAGCTACAGGAAAAATAAAATTATTCCGTTTTTGGCAACTAGGTGGAATCAGACGGTATTATGCTGAGAAAAATAACCCAAGGCAGAATGACAAATACACGACTGTATCAGTCATCTCTTGTACATAGAGAAAGAAATCAAGGTATAGGGAATATCAATTAATAATAAACCCCAGAGTACTTGGTCTGGGGAAGAGCATCATGAAGTCAGGGCATGAATAAGATGACTGGGGGTAACAGGAATGTTGGTGGATGGTCTGTAGCACAGGAGTTTTAAGAGAGATAACAGTATGCACCAAAACCATGACTGTCAGTTATAAAATAATGGGAAATGCGTTGGAGAGAAGAAATGCCTGACTAGAGGTGAAATAGAGCTGGGGTGTGAGAATCATGAGCACATCTGTGATGTTGGTGTGCAGTAACTTTGTACATCAATATCACAAACTTGGACACTATTTAAACCCTATTACCTAAAATAAGATTTAAAAAAAGAGAGAGAAATGTATTTTTTTCCAAACTGTATACAGCTTTATTAAAGATACTTTTCATAAACAATCATGCTATTTCAGGCAAAACATGGGCAGACAATCGTTAACAGTCTACAGTAACTTTCAAACTCCCTTCTTCAATGGACTACCAAAATCAGAAAGCCACTATAAAACACAATGACATCTTCATTTGATGCTCTGAACAGCAAAAGTTTAGAGTGAGGATTAATATTTCACATTTAGTATGTTGTTTAACAACTTTTCACAAGCTGACCTGAACTTTCAAGAAATGAAAGAAAAATGGCAGGATGATCAATCTGAAGATCCGCAATCTGAAAAAGGAACTGTTCTTTTGAGCGCAGCCCTCTCAGTTGGGGCACTGCAAAGTCCAGATGGCCTGACATCCTGGTAACCACTTTTGAGGAGTCCAGGCTTAACATTTCTCTCTGGGGTAAAGGGAGTCAAGTCTATACTGAAGGCAAAGAGGGAGACAGGATGTAGAAACACATTTTAGTTTTGACCCACCACAAGGCGTTGGGTGCTAGGGTGGTGACTGTGCCAAGTCAAGGAATCTCTCCTCTTGGAAATCAAGAGGAAGTCTCTCAAAACTAGTGGAGGAAAAGTTGTTTTTTCCCCATGGCAATCGAGTTTTGGAGACCATCTATTAATGACTTATGCCCTTTCCCCAAAACAACAATGAAGAGTTCTGTATGCTAACCACAAAACTTAAAAAAAAATGTAAAACAAAATTCTGCATTTTTATAAAACTTGATAAAAAAATAGTATTTCAAACTGTACAGTCACCAGCAGCACACAGTTATCAAAAATGCATACACTTCACTTGGCATCTCCAGCACCTTCAGCTTTCTGTGCCTGATCTGTTTTGGCATCTCCATTTTCTACAGGGTTATTTCCATCCTCGCCAGCATCAGCCTTCCCCTTTTTCCCTTTGGGTATCTTCTCTTCCTTCTTTGCAGGGGCCTTTGCCTTTTTAGGCTTGGGCTCTGCCTTTGGAGGAACAGGTTTAGCTGATAACCTTGCAGATCTTCTCTGTGGTTCATCCTTCACCTTGGTTTTATTTCCTTTAGCATCCCCTTCAGCCTTTCTCTTGGGGATGGTGGCGACAGCGGTGGGACATGGACGCTGGACGCGGGGTATAGCAGTGCATGGGCTTTGGTTGATCCAGGGGTCGTTCTCACCCATTCTTCTTCACACTGCCCCTAAATGGATGTTTTCTAATGAAAAAAGTTACCCTCAGTAATTTTAGAGTTGCTCTTGTGTCAGCTATTTCTCAAAATAATCAGATAATTTTTTTCTTCTATCAAAAGAGTACATTTTGAGGTGGTGTATTCTCTTGACTGATATTTGTATTATCTTGTAGCTTTGTATGTCTGATAAACCCATATTCCATTCTTTAATTGAAAAAACTTGACTATGCAGGGAAATCAGAACCATGCCAAACCTTGATTTTCTTAATTTCCTCATTTGTACTTTAAACTACAAATTTCTATACATTCTGTATATTTCCTCCTTTTATGTTATTAAACATGATTAAAGACATTTCAGGTGATAGAACCAAACTAACACTTCATTAAATAGGCAGATTGCATCTCTAAGTTCCAGAAAATTGCAAAATTATGTCCAAGTAAGAAATTCTATACGATAAAGAATAAAGAATAACAGGAAAAATAGAAGATGTATTAGGAGCATGGATGTGCATATATTGTGCAGATTTGTCTTGACCTTTCAAAATTGGCTGGATATATTATGTTTCTGGTCAAGTGGAGTATTTATAGAGACTTAAAAGTTTTCATTTGCATAAATGATACCCCACACTGCTCTGACAATGGTAGTTGATGGGTTATATTTTTCTAAAGTTCATGTAAAGGTTGGAACAAATATTCAAAGCAACATTAGCCTGATGAGCTAAAAAGAAACATTCAAAATTAAATAAATATGTAGAGTTTGAGAAATTGAAACCTAGTTTTGCGAGAGTGAAAATCATTTACTCAGTACAAGGAATCTAGATCCAACAGTTTTTCTAGCTGCCTATCTACTTGGCCAGTTTAAGGTGCTTATATATATATAAACAAACAACAGAAAATTAAATTAGGTCACATTTAGGGTCACATGCAAATGAAGTCTTCAGTCATTGAAAGTTTGATTGGTAGAAAGATTGTCTTCGAACTGGGGATTGGTCTACTTTACATCCTGGATGGTTCATGAGACTTTATTTTGAGTTAGCCTCTTCTTAGGCTATGGGCTAGTCTGGGCATGCCCAACTATGTCAGGGTATTTCTGGGGCATAATCCTTAAGATTGAATGTTTCAGTTACTCAAACTCAAGTTACTCCAAAATGTTTCACATTTCCCATAATAACTTAAGAGTACTATTTTCTTTCCAAAGTTTAGAGGAGACTGAATAATAGGGAAAGACGTTCATATGAATTTTCTAAGAAACAAATGAAACAATGAGTCTTGATGTAGTGGTAGAAAGATCTTTTGGCAGGATGGTAATAAAATTGAAAAGTGTGAACCAGTCTGCAATGGAAATCCTTCAATTACTCTGGACGAGTCTGTTATTCACCAGACCTGAAGACTATTGACCCCTCTTGAACAAAGAGGGTAGGAGACTAGACATTTTACTAAAAAACGGGAACATGAAAGTGATAAAAACAATACTTTTTTTCTGATTAAGGTGGAATCAACTTTTTTCTCTGAATTCAAACATCAGAAACACATTTAAGAACTGTAATTATGGGAGAGAGAGAGAGAGAGAGAGAGAGAGAGAGAGAGAGAGAGAGAATGTAGTGTGTTTATCGCTTGCTTGTCTTGAGAGTGGCCTACCTAAATTCAATATGTAGCACCCCTTATGGCCCTCTGAGCCCTGCCAGGACTAATCCCTGAGGCCCTGAGTACAGAGTCAGAAGTAAGTTCTGAGAACTGCCAGGTATGACCAAAAAAACAAAAACAGAAGAAAAAATAAAGAAAATCCACTCAAAGCCCAACACAATAAAATACATAGTATAGGGGGAGAAGTGGGTTATCAGGGTGATATTATAGAAATAATGGCCCTAATTACCAGTAGCACCTAATTACCAGATTTAATGTGAAGACGAAATATCACAGCATAGGCCTTATACTCTAGTTGACTAGATGACCAGAAGATAATCATTCAGCATCCTGTCCTGCTCCCACCCCTCCCTCTTACCACTCTGACACTTTTAAATTTAATGAAAAGTGCTTAGCACCCCCTAATTAGGTAAAGGTAAGGTAAAGGCCCTCCCGTTGATCATCGATTTGCTCCAGTGGGCCCAGTAACATCTCCATTGGAGACTTTGTTGTTTCTGTGTCTGGCATATCGAATACTCTCGGTAGCTTGCCAGGCTCTCCGAGAGGGGCGGAGGAATCGAACTTGGGTCGGCCATGTTGGCCGCATGCAAGGCAAACGCCCTACCCGCTGTGCTATCACTCCAGCCCCCTAATTACAGAGATATAATAGGAAGCTTTTGGTTTTACTTTGGAATCCATCTTAAGTGACTCTCCCCACTTCCCTAAATACTGTAGGGACTTCCTGCCCTTCTCCCCATCTTTTCCATCCTTTTAAATAAAATCTTTTCTGATTTTAGTAAATAAGTGTTTCCTGCCTCCAGTTTTGACAACAATTGGATATAAGAGCCCCCGTGCATTGTAGAAGTATTAAAATAAAAGTAATTTGTTAATACTGTTTCAGGAAAATTTCTCTGCTCTCCGCATTCCAACACAGTGTACTCTGAGTACTTGTTTTCCCAACCTTTCACAAGTCAAGTATGACCAGAAGCATAGTTTGTAAATACGTTGCTTGTTCTTCCCTGTTGAGGACATCTGCCATGTTTGCTTTTCATCAGGACTTCTGTGTTCTCACATGGATGGGCCACAGCATGGGCAAGCCATTTGGTACTTCCTTTTTCAATGATCATGGAGGCTGTGTGGAACATTCAATTTAGCAGTCGCTGTTTCTGCCTCTAATGGAGACTGCCAAGGAGAACAGATGGGCCATTCCGTAACACAGGTGGCCTGCCCTACACAGCTATAACTTAAAAGGTTTGCTCCTGCAAATGCTCTGTGCCTTGCTTTCTGCAAAATGCAATTTCAGGTGAGGAACTGCTGCAATCCAGAACCTTCTGACAGTGCTGATAATATAGTGTTGATTCCTTCTTCTCAAAGGAAGGACTGCTATATTTTCCATAGAACAAATATAAGGCAAAAGAGTACATAAATGTCAGTATAAATATGCATGCATATGCATGCAGTATGTATATATGTGTGTAAATATATCTCCATGTATGTATATGCATATCTCTCTATTATAAATCCATAGTGTTTTATTCAATCTCCAAAAATGTCTTGCTCTTCAATTGATTTAGGCTTCTTTTCATAAAGGTGCCTTTTGACTGATATTCATTAAATGCATTAAATGCTTTATACTTGGGGCATATATAAATGTACGTATCTTGCATTTCTGAAAGAGAGAAAGAGAACACATCTTCAGAGATCAGTTATGGAAGTTTTTTTTTTTTAACAGAAGGATATTTCAGCTCGTGTAACACACGTTGGACTTCTCAGCATGGGCTGGCCTGGATAAAGTATCAAGCCTTTGTTGACATCTATCCTCCAACTCACATAAGGACTTTGTAATAACATTCTTTCAAACCCATCTGGTGATTTAGCCAAGGATGTTGAAAAGCTTCAGTCAAAATTCTGAAGAAGAGTTATAAAGCTGAGCTATGTCAGAAAAACTGACAGCTAGTTCATTTTTACTGGAAACTTAAAGGCAGAAATCATATGATAGAACTTGCTATAAATTGAATTTAAGAAGTATCCTTATAATTGCTTAAACTGCATAATATTACTTGGCTGCTCCTTCATTCTCTTTCTTATCATCACCCAAAAACTGACTTGCAGATTTTTTTCTGAGTTCCTTTAGAGGTAAGTTAAAAGGACATTGGGCTAAATTTTCATATACAAATTGTGTTATAGGACTCTACCTTTGAGGTTTTTTTCACAGTATTTTTTAAAGGGCATTATTTAAAAAAATACTATATTGCTCTAATTGCCAAATATTCCTCTTCATACCATTTTCTATCTTTTAAATTATTCCTAAAATTATCTCTCTTTACATAAAATCTGCAGTTGAATAGACTGATGAGTGTTAAAAAATTAATTGTACAAATTTTTATGAGAATGAAGGCTTTAGAAATAAGTGGTTTATCTGACAAGTCTACTAAGGTAATTAGAAGTTTCTGAGTTAAGAATTTTGTATTGCTATTGCATTTCAATTTCCTGTTACTCTTTATCATTTTTAAAGTTTTAGGCTATCCATTCATCTCAAAGTGTTAATGTCTTTTCTTAGTCTCTTCTAGAGAACACATACTTTATTTTTCACTCACCATGCTTTCTACAGCTAAATTCATAGTTTCAACAGAATTATTTTCCTTTCAAAATTTATATGCTGAAGCTTTAATCCTTGGTATGACAATATTTAGAAAAGGACTTTGAGGAGGTATTTAAAGTTAAGTGAGATCAATAAGAATAGGATCCTACTCTCATAGAACTGATGTTTTTATAAGTAGAGGGAGAACCACCAAAGCTCACCCTTTCCGCAATGTGAAGAAAAGACAATAAGAAGCCAAAGAATCCACAAGATGAGGCTCATCAGTCAGCTTCTTGATCCCAGACTTCCCAGACTTACTGTATTTACTAATCTCATTGTTTTCCTGGTTTTCACTATGATGCTCCCTTTTAAGTTACCCTGATCATTTTTTTCCCTTGGGATTAATGTTGTAGAATTTTCATCTCATTTGAAAATGTCTAGGTAACTGTTTGTTATATGGAGATTAATTGACTTTGAGAAAGTTCATTGCCTTTTCACTGATTCAGAAGTTGGAGGTTATAATAATATGCAGAATTCTTAGATCATTTACAGTATGTGTCATCATTGGCGCTACTCAATTTAATTACATCTGAAATTAAATTGTTGAATATCCTCCCATACTTTTGTGAAGCAATTTCAGTGTGGATTAATTAAATTGAGAAACACACACCAGACATATTGACGTAAAACACAGAGAAGACAAAAGTTTGGCCTTCCCACAGAGACACTAATCAATTTTCAAAGTAGATTCATTTATTTATCTCTTTCTAAGTTCTTTTGAGCTTATTTAT